ATTTGCAAGATCGTTTTTGTGGCTTCTCACTGCCCATAGCAGAGATTCTCAACATGGACAAAGCACTGTTCTCTAGGATAGTGCTTTAAAAACTCACCACAGAAATCTATGCATTTTACTTCACAACATAGCACACCTACATTCTTCTATACATATTACTGAAGCAAAGGTTTCTTGAGTAATTCTTATCTTTAGTAATTGTGATACACTCCTTTTCTCTTTCATTAAATTTTTTTAAGGGGGGGTACCGGTTGAGATTCATTAAATTGATCTCACTTCCCACGAATGCTGTGGTTCTCAGTTTTGGTTGCACATAAGAATCATTTAGAAAACTTAAAAACAATTTTCAGTGCTCAGGCCCCACACTAGAGCAATTAGAATCACAGAGCTCCTCAGGTGAAGGCCTTCCTAAATCTTGGCTCCTCACCATTTCCTCCTTTGAGCCTCACCTGGGAGATCTAGACCTACTTTTCTTATAGCAAGTCGTTCTGGTTTTGCATTTATTTGCATGTTTATCTTGGACTATAAATTCCTTGAGGGCAAGAAGCTGTATCTTACCCATCATGGTACCCCTAGCATGCAGCACACAGTAGCCTTGTCCATAAGCATGTGCTGAGAGCCTAAAGGCATAAGTGAAGCAGAGCATAAACCATCTCCTTCTCTGGCTTCCTGCTTCTTTACCTTCCTTCCTGGCTGTGCTCTTATTTCTCACTGCTCTTGTTTTGTTTTCATTTACTGGCCCTTCTTCCTCAGCCCACTTCTGAAATAGCAAAACCGCCCTCTGCCCTGCCCTTTGCCGTCTCCCAGCCTGGGGATCTCGTCTGTGCATATGGCTGCCGCACTCTCCATCAGCTGAAGGCTGACAGAGCCACGCCCCCAGCCCCCACCTCTCTGCTGAGATCCAGAGTCTTCTCCTTCTGCTCTTGGGATAGGGCCATGGTTGAGAGCCTGGCTCCATGTCAAAAGCTGCAGGAACAGGCTTAGTTTCTGGCTCAATCACCTTTTCTCCAACTTGCTTAAGATCTTGGTTTTCTTCATTGGTGAATTAGGGATGACGGGTGGTTATCCAGTTGGTAGGGTTATTCTGAGGATTAAATGAAACTATTTAAAGCTCTTGGCACAGGGTTTGGCTGGCACAAAGTTAAGTGCTCGATAATTGTTAGGTACTATTACTAGACAGCTCTATCTGAAGGTCCTGCGGATCCCCTACATTGTCTGAAAACAGCACCATCCCTCTGACACCTGTTTTCTGTTTCCAAACCTTCAGGCATCCTCCTCAGGTAATGCTAGAACCAGTGGCTGACACAGATGTGATTTAGGGCTGCACAGGGCCTTCAGGGGACCCTTGGCATCTCCACAGCCTTCAGCATCTCTCAGTCAGACGGTTACAACAACCCTTCTTCCCACCAGGCTCACTCTCTTATCTGAACCCTATGTGGTCGGCTTCTGCCAGAGTGATTTTCATAAAACGCAAAGTAAATCGGATCACATCGCCACTCTCCTCCACTGCTCACTGCTTTGCTCCTTCCCCAGCTCACTACCCACTGAGAGCACTTAATAAACTCTAAGGTAACTATTAATCCTCTGTGTGTCTCCCATTTTCCAACCCTCTTCCCCAGCTGGTGAGTTCACTGACAGTAGGCAACTTTTAATTTTTTCTTCCTTTTTTTTAAAAAAAGATTTTATTCACTTGAGAGCAAGAGAGAGAGTACAGAGGGAGAGGGAGAAGAAGACTCCCCGCTGAGCAGGGAGCCCGATGTGGTGCTGGATCCCAGGACCCCGAGATCATGACCTGAGCCAAAGGCAGACGCTTAACCAACTGAGCCACCCAGGCACCACTAATTTTTTCAATGTAGTTTTATTTCCTGAGCTACCAGCCCAAGGCCTTACAAATAGTAGGAACTCAATGATTTATGAATGAAGGAACTTTGGAATTAGGAGACAGTATAATTAGGTCATATCTTTGCTTGATTTATTTGGTGTGAGTGACTGTTTGGTAGAAGAACATGACTCCATTGCAAGTTGAGCATCTTGTGTGATGCTTTGTGTTAGAAGTTGCAGCATGTTGTAACAGGTCTCGGGAACAGGAACTGTCTTACACTGTGTATTGTCTTCTGTTGTTTAAATTGTGTGTACAAACCCACTTAACAAACATTCCTTTAGGTACTTCCTTTGTACCAGGCCCTGGGCAAGGCATAGAAGCAAATGGTAATAATACTACAATAATGCTTCTAATTATTCTGTCCCTCCTCTATTCTGTACCTAAGTTGGCTCATGAGATCAACCACCTCCTGAATATGAGTAAACAGAGGCTCTTATTTAAAATACCTTTTCTAAGAGAATATGGCAACTAAGTGGGAAACCATATTTGAACCAAGGTCTGCCTTTATTCCTATACCCATTGCTCCTCTCAAGAACACATAATACCTCATAGGTACCAATTGTTGAGTGCCTTCTCTCTCTGAGGTGCTAGATATCTATTCTTGGATTTAATTCTCCTCTAACACTCTGCAAGGCATGATCCCCATTTTCCTGGAGAGGAAATGGGCTCAGAAAGGTCAAGTAATCTGCGTAGGATTGCAGAGGAGGGTGGCAAGTGGTAGAGCAGAGATAATCACTCAGGTCTGCTGGACCCCCAGGCCCCATTCCCTGTCCACTTAGCCTATGGCATGGTCTAGCCAGAGGGCAAAGCTGTTCTTGAGTAACAGGTTCACCATGGTAAGTGCAGGTGGGAGAGCAAGGCCAAGGAGCTGCTGCTTCAGCAAAGGAGGGATGGGCACAGCTGTTCAGCTGGGGGTTCCAAATGTTCTGATGATATCAATGTTACACTGTTAAGTTATTCATCATTCATTCATTTGTCAAATATTTTTGGGCCCTTCAATTTGTTATGCATACCAGTGGCAACTGATATAAACATAGGAAAGACAAAGGAACTTTTTAAAAGAGCTCCTGGTCTTTTTAGGAGAGGGGGATAGAAGGATGAGACACAGAAACAAATGGCTGTATGAGACGTAGGTGCCATAACAGAGCTTGTTACCAGGTGCTGTCCACCAGGCGTGGACGTAAGCCAGAAGCTCCACGGAGGGCACCACGAGTCCATCCCCCCCAAATTCCTCCCCGGGCCTGCAAGGCCCTCCAGGATCTGTCCTGCCAACCTCTCTCACCTTCTGTGCTTCTGCCACATACACTTACTTATGGTTCTCAAGGTGACTAAACTTGCTTCTGCCCCTGCCACAGGGCCTTTGCCCCGACTGTTCCCACTGTGCATCACGGTCTCTCTCTCATACTTCGCTCAGTGTCTCAGTGTATTATCCACTTTGCTCAGTGTCTCCCCTTCAGGGGGTGCCTTTCCAGATGGCCCTCCCCATTCACTCCTGTCCCATGATCCCATCCTCCCTCTGCTCCCAGCTCTAACCACGATCTTAAGAGCATGGGTTCCAATCTCAGTTCTGTCATTTTACCGGCTAGGTAAGCTTGGACAAGTTATTTAACCTCTCGGCATCTCAGTTTTGTCCTCTGAAAATGGGGGGTTAACAATGATGCCCCCACCTCCCAGTGCACTGCTGTGGGGCTTCACCGAGCTTATCTATGTAAAGCATCAATAGTGCCTGGCGCATAGGAGATATGCGATAAACATAAAGTGTGTGAATGTTCCCATCATGTGCCTGTCTGGATCTGACTACAGAGACTACAGAACACAGTCTGGGAGTGCGTCAGCAACCAGGCCAGCATAGCCTGTGTCCACAGGGAGCTTGCTTCCTGCCTGAACCCCCCTGTCCACCCCCCCACATGTATTTGCCCTGTAGCCTTTCGCCTGGAGGTCACTCTTCCTCTTTGTTCTCCTTTCTAGCCTCCTCACCCCCTGCTTCCTGCCTGGGATTCACGGCTTGAGAGGACACAGCAGTCTGTGCACCCACATGATTTGTTTGTTGCTTGTGGTTGTGTTCCTTCCTTTAGTGGTAGACTTCATTAGAGGTTTGGTTGGTGTGGAAATGGTAAAATCTCACCAAGGAGGTGAAAAAAAGCAGAATAATAGCTAAAGGCCCACCTCTTGGCTTTCTTCATGTTCTGTGGATGTTTTGCAACCCCTGGAACTGCCCATCCCCCCAAATCTGCCTGCTTTCTCCTTGCCTAGATATCACTTCCTCTCGGAAGTCTTCCCAAGGCCATGGGCTCTGGAGTGGACCTTGTGCACACATATTTCACCGCATGGGACTGTCTCCACCCCTGTCTCCCTTACCAGTCTGCATGTGCTATAAGGCCGGGGCCATGTCTTTTGTCTTATTCACCATGGGATCCTCAACCCCCCAGTACCTTCCTACCATTAACAAGTAGTGTTCTTTACGTACATAATGAACTTAGAGGACACGAACCAATAAAGCAGGTAAATTAGGAAGCAGTGGCTTGTATTGGGTTACAAAAGGCCTATTCACTTTATAAAAGGAGTTTTTGCAGGGTTCCATTGAGTAGCAAGTCAGGGGTATTGCTTAAAATAACACCCAAATCTCAGTGGCTTCACACACACACACACACACACACACACACACACACACACACACACTTTCTTGATGATGTGACAGTCATTGCAAGTGTCCAATGTGTAGCCTTTCAAATTTCAAATCTTGTAGCTCCACTATCCTTTATGCCCTCTGCTGGGCCCTCTGCTGGGTCCTCTGCATCTGGCTGCCAGATGGGGAAGGAGAGAAGAGAATCACTCAAGGGGTTTTCTTCTGGGTCATACCTGCAAGTGGCACATAGCACTTCCTGTCCCATTGACTGGAACTCTGTTACATGGCTGCCCAACTGCTAGGGAAGCTGGGAGAAGTGGTCTAGCTGCACGTCCAGGAGGAACGGGAATGATGTTTTGGTGAACACAGGGCAGTCTCTGCACCTGGGAGCATACCAGAGCCAGGAGGCCCCTGGGTAAAGTCAGGCCCTGTCAACCTGCAATGGGTCCCTGAGGAAAGGAATTGCACTGATTTTCTGTTTTGATTTTGTAGACAAACACATGTGATCAAAATCTTAATCATTGCCTTGAGCTCATCGAACAAATTTCCAAAGTTCAAGGACAGCTCTTTAGGATCCTCACTACGGCAGCCCAAGAAGGTGAGAATGGCCTGTGTTTCCCCATCTGGCTCTCTCTTCTTTTGCTTCAGTCCTTGGTACTCTCTCACTGTGTCGCTGAATTTCTTTCCCTGACCTGATTTATGGGTTCTTTTAGGTGGACATTATGATGGTGTGGAAATAATCAAATCGCGCCTTCTGCCTTGGCTGGAGGCCTCCTTTACTGCTGCTTCCCTGGGAAAACCTGTTGACAGCAAGGTCCCCTCTCTACAGGTAGGGACGCTAAAGGATCCCCCTTGACTTTCAGCACCCCGGTCAGGCTCTGGGAACTCAGACATATATAAGAGATGGCTTTTACCTAGTGAGGGACTCAGCACTACTTGGGATTGGGGACACAGGTCCAAAAGGTGCGTTTCTGTTTACAGTAGTAAGTGGCGTAATGGGTTGAGCTTCTCTTCAAAGAGGCCTGCGTTCAACTCTCAGCTTTGCCTACTTCCCAGCGGTGTGACCTCAGACAATTCAACGAGCCTCTGCTTCCTCAGCTGTAAGAAAGGACTGGTGATGTTCTACATCTCGGACATTGCCCACACTCGGCATTAAATGGGAACTTTGGAATGACAGATTAGTCACACAGACAGTTAGGGTACACGGAGCCTCAGAAGAGACCATTAGATGGGGGAAAGTACCATATTCTGGAAGAGCGAAATGAAACGAGTTGAAAACTTAGTTCTCAGAGACTGACAAAGAGTATTGTCATTTGCTGTTGCTATGGGGTGATTTCTGTGGGTTAGTGTCAGGTTTTAGGCAGTTGAAGCCCAGACTGGAAAGAGAGCATACACCTTGCTTAAGGCATTAACATCATTAAGCATTAGTAACCTTGGTTTTGGATGTTTATATGGATTTCCATAAATTCTTTTCTAAAATTAAAGTATGTAGAGTGGTCTTTTCTTAGCAGCCTTAGGGGTGCAGGGGTGGAAGGGTTCCTGCTTGGAGGTCACTGGGCAGAATTCTGGTCGCTCTTCTATGGTCCTGAGTCTGTTGACTAACCTTTCATGTCTCACTTGCTGGAAAGGAAACAATGCTTTTGCTGACCCCCTTGGGCCATTTTGAGAATTAAATGTGATAAACATGCAGAAACAACTAACATAGGCTAAGTATTCCATAGACATCAGTTGGTTTTAAGCAAATTTTTCTCCCCTGGGGATTTTTTACATGTTGCTGAGATTTTTACCCCGTGGGTGTTCTTCTGAGTATAAAGATATGAGATGATATTTCAATGGCTTTTTAAAAAGTTGATGTATAATAAAAAATTGAGCTATAATTTACCTGCAGTGAAATCCATAGGTCAATAAATGCATATATCCGTGTAACTCACACCCTATTAAGTTATAAAACATTTCCATCTCTCCAGAGCATTACCTTGTGCCATTTCCCAGTCACCTACCCACCCCCCCCAACCAGGCAACCACTCTTCTGATTTTTATCATTCTAGATTAATTTTGCTTGCACTAGAACTGCATATATATGGAACTATGCATTTGTGTCCTTTTGTGCTTGATTTCTTTTGCTCAGCATAATGTGGTGCAACCCATCATCTTGTTTCATGTATTCAAGACTATTTTTGATTTGTGTATCATTCCAGGACACATTTGATAAGGAGAGACATAAAGAGGCTGGTGTTCGGGATCGGGACATGCAACAATTAGACTCTGAGTTGACTTCGACTCATAATCAACTCAACCAGGTTCAAGACGAGTAAGAGGAATGCAAGTTATCTTTTTCCAAAAAGAATTGTTTGTTCTTAATTTTTAAGTTTGAAAGGAGAATAATGGCTCATGTAAAAGGTAGACATCTGCAAATAACTCTGTGTGTGTGTGTATGGAGAGAGAGAGAGACTGCGAGAGAGAGCGTCAGACAGAGAGTAAGGAGCCAGTGTCTTTGAATCTGGGGATAAGATTTCTATATTATATTAGGCTACCTAAGACCCTGCTCCCCTTGGCTCCATCCCTGGAGCTCCTCCTTCTCTAGAGGCCTGTTATGAGCCTATATATGTAAACAGGGAAAGATTGTTATATGATAATCTATCTTTTTTTTTAAAGATATTTTTTATTTATTCATTCAAGACACAGAGATACAGAGAGAGAGAGAGAACAAGAGCAGGGGGAGAAGCAGAGGGAGGGGGAAAAGCAGGCTCCCCGCAGAGCAGGGAGCCTGATGCGGGGCTCGATCCCAGGACCCTGGGATCATGACCTGAGCCGAAGGCAGACGCTTAACCATCTGAGCCACCCAGGTGCCCCTGGTAATCTATCTTTTGAAAGAAAAATAAGATGCAAAAGGGAGAGGGTTAAAGAAGGTCAGACAAAGAGTAAAATTAAGGAAAGAGAGCAAAAATAAGATGAATAGGCTGCATCCGTCTGTCAGATGTGCTCATTTAGAGGGTATAAATGCCTGGCTGAGAAGTCAGACTCTTTAAAGAATGAGCATTTCAAGATTTTGGAATAATTAGTAGATATAAAAAGTACTTTAAAGAAGTTAAGCAATGCCAGGCAGCAACCGGTGTCAGATGCCAAGCCAGGGTAGCAAGCTCAAGGAATCACTGCAAAGAAAATTGCAAGCCTTGGATTTGCACTTGAGGAAGACAGACAAATGTGTCTGAAACTGCATTCAGCCCACCTAGCCAAAACCCATCAATCGGATGTTTCTCAGTTGGAGCTTTGCTCCACTGCGGACATGTATGGGGCGGCAAGGAACTCTTTAGTTAGGGCTTGTGATGGAATAAGTTGTGGCATGCTGCCTTGTTCTCTGATGAGATTTCCTTTTAAGGAAAGCATCTCTACTGATATAGTTTTGCTTGATTATAAAAGTAATAAAAGTTTCCTTCTCAAAATGCATACAACATACGAAAGTGGCAGTATCATAGCCAAGGGGTTTATCTGAGGCATGATTATTGCTAATTCAAAATGCATACAACAAATACAAGTGTAAAGGTGAAAATCACCTGTTATCTCATCCCTGTTAACATTTTGGTTTATTTTGCTCCAGACATTTTTCTTTGTGTGTGTTTGCATGTGTGTGTGTGTGTGTGCACACACATAGACACACACACACAGTTACCTCCACACCCCCCATTCATTTCCAATTGGAATCATTGTCAATGAACAGTTTTATGGCTGCAACCGTCAACATTTACAAATGTAATGAGCAAAAAAGCACAATCGTCCGAATTTCTGCAACTTATTTCAACTAATATCAGCTGATTTGGAGTGAGGTGAGGATAATTAAACTTACCACTTCTTTTCTGGTTTACTATACAGTCCTTTTCCTGTAAATATTCAGTTAGTTCCAAGTTCAAACTTCTGTTAGGGGCTTTTTCCCCCCCTCTCCAGGAGTCTCCTCAGCCCTCCTCCTTCCCTAGACTGGCCATTTAGAAGTAGAGGGATGCTTGCGTGCTTATGAGGGATGACTCAAGCTGGAGAGGAGAGACTTTGGGTCTTGTGCTGCTGTATGAGTTCTTGCTGCCTCGTTTCCAATGGGCAGTAGAGTCTTGTGCCAAGGGGTGCTGATTTGTGGCTTGTCTGGTTAAATCTTCTGGAGAATTTGCTGGCAACTGCGGCTGGCCAGGCCCTTCCATTTGCCACTAACTGTGAGGCAGGGCTTCAAGACTTTGCTGGTTCTTGACTTCTATCAGCACCAAGGGGAGCCAGGAATTCCTTCCTACCTCCCTCTCTTATCATTATGGCTCTGTAAATAGCCATCAGGAGCATCAGGGGTCAAGGAACTATGACTGCATACTTTTTGTAAAAAAAAAAATTATTTGGAAATAATTTCCAATGCAGAAAATCTGTAAGAATAGTACTAAGAACACCCATATACACTGTCATGTATGTTTCATACTATTTGCTTTATCCTTTGTGTGTACACTATATATATATCCTCCCCTCCCCCCACCAAACCCTGTGCATCTCATTTGAAAGTGGCACAGATGAAGGTGTTTGCTCCTTTACCTTGGATTTCCTAGTTTGGTTTGGTTTTTAACCCACCTGTGGTTCTTATTCTTTTAAGGCATCAGAAATGATGCTGTCTGTCCCCCACATTCTGTGGTAGCTAGGTCTCTCCTTTCTCTCTTACTCTACCTGCTACCTGCTATGGAATGAGTGGCCCACCAAGGAGATTCCCCATGTCTGACCTTGTGGAGCCCAGATTGGTTTTGACTCAGTTACAAATGGGCAAATTCTAATACAGTGCTCAATGGGGACAGGTCTGCCCAAGTTTGATGAATCCTCGAAAAGGAAGATGTCTAGATTTTATACTCGGGATCTGGTTATGAGTCTCTGTGTCTTCATTTCCTATCTCCAATCTGTTGGCAAATCTGGTTGAATCTACCTCCTAAACATCTCCTACTCTTGTCCCTTTCTTACTATTCTACCACCATTGCCCAGTTGAAGGCCCTGATACCTGTTGCCTCAACCAGTTGCCTTCCAACTGGCTACCCTGCTATCATTCTTGCTCTACTATAATCCATTTCACACATAGAAATTTATAAAGTCAGACCCTGGCTTAAAAGCTGTTAGTAGCCTCCTTTTACACTTAGAAAAAAATTCTAAACTCCTTACCAGGACTCTTGTAGCCCTGTGTGATCTGGCCCTGCCTCTCTCTACACCCTCATCTCATGCCAGGCTCTCCTCACCTGGTCTGTGGTCCCCTTCCTCACCTTGCAGCCTTTGCCTGTGCTCTTTCAGAAACATGGCAGTCTCTCTCTGGTTCTTTGCATGGCTGGTTCTTTATTATCTTTCAGGTCTCAGCTGAAATGTGACTTTCTCAGAGTCTGTGACCATGTATATCGAAAGGTCTTTCCTTCCCCCCGCTCTGTAGTTCTCTTTCACAGTGATCTGAAAATAGCCCTTACCACAATTTGGAACTTTAAAACATTGGTTCGCAAGTTTCTGATCCACTAGACTAGAAGCCCCAAAGGGTTACTGTCTTATATCTGTTATTCTGACACTGTTGTATCCCCAGCACCCAACATCATGCCTGCCACATGATATATCCTCAATGAATGAATAAATCCCTAATAAAAAATAAGTAAAATACATTAACTTGCTTAAAATAATGCTTGGCACATGAATGTACCTCCCTTTCTTCTCTCTGTATATCATTCAAGGGTGCCAAATTAGCATGTACGTTTGGTTGTATGTACATGTGTTCACACAGGTGTGCCATGCCTTAAGAGAAAAACATAACTACTTTATTCCTGTTCATACTCTCCTTCCTTTCTTGGTCTATTTGCTCCTTTTAATTTTCTACAGTTTTCTCTTGACAAAAATGTTCATTTTCTTCTCCATGTATACTTTAAAAACCCTGTAACATAGTCACCTCTGAATTAAATCACAGCAATTTCCTCTTAATTGCCAGTAGCCCTATTATGAAGTTATTGCTACTTTGGCATTTGTTAAAAGACTTTAGACATTGTGTTCATTCATTTTTCAACTAAAAAAATCTCTCCTGTGTTACAGGCACTATTTTAGGTATTGGGGATAAAAAGATAAAAAATAATTTTTGCCCTTAAGTAGCTCACAGTGTATTTGTAATGAGACTGTTAGTGTGAACCAAGTGTTGGAGGTGCTCCAGAGAAGGGGAGACACACTTGGCTTGAGAGAGTCAGGGATGACATTTGCATGAGCACTCACAGGTTGCGTGGGCACTTGTTAGGGGAGGAGGAGGAGAAGGAGATGGGAAGGAACACTGGGTAATCACACCACCTCTTGCATTGCCTGATTGGTCGGGATCTGTGGGGACTTGGTAGGAATCCTGCTAGCCCATCATTTCTCTATCTGCTTCACTGTCTAGGGGAGGACCCCAGTGTTTGACCTTCCATTCTTCCATCTAAAAGGAAGGAAGAAGACAGGTGTGAGTTTAGATAGCAACTGCAACCTCTCAGCCTCAGATGAAAGAGCCTGGATAGTACAGGGAGGTAGGGTCCAAGAAGTCAAGAAACCTTTGCCAACCTATGATCTCTTGCTGGACTAGGGCAACTTAACTGAGAACCACTGGTCTCCATCCAATGTCATCCATACACATCCATTTCTTTTTAAATTTTAGATAGACCTAAAGAAATAATAGGATTTGTTATGATTTGCCTATAATGAAGAGAGTCCTTGAAACTCACAATGACCTAGCTATGTTGAAAACTCAGGAAAATCATGCTCAATAAGTGGTGGAAGTTAGAGGCATGAAATACTTGGTAGTCAAGTGTGATTGTGGAAGACTTTCTTTGTAGGTGGGCAAATAATTTTTTCTTTATATGTAGGAAGTCTGGGAAAATTAGATCAAATGCAACTCTATGGTGCAAAGTAATGAGAATACTGCAGAAAAGGGTATTGGGATATTGCAGAAAATGGAGATTTTATAGGGAGAGGCAGCCTGAAGATTTGGTGTGCTGAGCAGATGAATTAGGAGGGTGAGAAGGAGGAAGTGAACAAGTTTCTTTGCCCTTTACATTCTAACATTAATAATTATTACATAGCTCTTTAGTGGTAGCCACTCTATAATGTCTTCACGTTTGACATTGAGAAAGAATGCTAGCATGCTTTTGCATACAAGCGCACCATAATATTTGCAATAGTATCTGATTGGATGCAGATGTCTCATAATTTGATCTTGTTTTTGTTGAACTTATATCATATGCCAAAAGTTCCTGGGACAACCTATGCCTTGATTTGGAAAGTCTGCCAATTTTGGAAAATCTGTCTTAAGTTACTGATTTCTCTTACAGTCTGGCTGAAACTGAAAAGACTCTTGAAGAAACCAAGAACAGATCAGCCATATCCCTTTTGGCTGCAGAGGAGGAAATAAATCAGCTAAGAAAGCAGTAAGCAAAAAAAAAAAAAAAGACAGGATTATTGCAGTCTGCTGATTGATCTTTGAATTTAGCTTTTTGGTACTCCATTACAATATGAAAGAAGCTGTTCACAAAGAGGAAAGGCAGCAATAGTTTTATTAATGTTTTATATAATTTTTTTCTTACTACAAAAATGCTGTCTACTATAGAAAAATTTCCAAGTACAACAGAGTATAAGAGGAACCCAAAAACCCTCTCAAAATTCCAGAGCCAGTTATTGTTACCATTTTGCTATTTCTTCCAATTGATACATTAAAAAAATAGTTATTACTACAAAATCAGCATAAGGATACAATTTTGGACCCCATCTTTTCACTTAACATTGTTTTTCTCTATTACTAAGAAAAAATAGTGCAAGACTTAGTTTTAAATAGATGCATCATGTTCCATTATTTAGATATTTCCCTAATAGTGAACATTTACTTTGATACTGATTTTAAACATTGGAAATAACATTGTGATAATTATTGCAGCAAATGTTAGTTTAAATTTCAGATAATTCTCTAAATATAAATTTCTAGAAGGAGAGCATAAACACATACTTTAAGGTTATATCTTCCTTGAATTTTTAAAATCAAAGTATAGTTGACACACAGTATTCTATTAGTTTTAGATGTACAACATAGTGATTCAACAACTCTGTACCTTATGCTACGTTCACAAGTGCAGCTCCCATCTGTCACCTTACGATGCCATTACGATATCAGTGACTATATTCCCTATGCTGTGCCTTTTATTCCTGTGCCTTCTTCCATATGTGGAAGCCTATGCCTGCCACTCCCCTTCACCCCCTTTACTCATCCCCCCACATTCTCCCTTCTGACAACCACCAGTTTGTGCTCTGTATTTATGGGTTTGTTTCTGCTTTTTGTTTGTTGATTCATTTTTTTAAATTTCACATATAAGTGAAATCTTATGGTATTTGTTTATCTCTTTCTGACTTACTTCACTTAGAATAATACACCCTAGGTCCATCCATGTTGTCACAGATGGCAAGATCTAGTTCTTTTTTATGGCTGAGTAATACTCCATTGTATGTATATGTATATATATTGTGTGTGTATACATATATAAATATATATATCATATCACATCATATCACATATACATATATCGCATCCTTATCCATTCATCTATGAGTGGACATGGGTTGCTTCCATATCTTGGCTACTGTAAATAATGTTGCAATAAATACAGAGCGCATATATCTCTTCAAATTAGTGTTTTTGTTTTCTTTGGGTAAATACCCAGTAGTGGAATTATTAGATTTCAATATTTAACTTTTTGAGGAAACTCCATACCGTTTTCCAGAGTGGCTGCACCAGCTTGCCTTCCCACCAACAGTGTACGAGGGTCCCCTTTTCCACATCCTCACCAACACTTGTTATAACTTCTTGTCTTTTTCATTCTAGCTATTCTGACAGGGGTAAGTGGGTATACCTTCATTGATCTTAATTTTGATTTTTCCCCCCAAAAAGCAAGTGGGGGTTGTATTAAAACACACCCATGCACGCACACACACACAAATACCTTTTTGCTGCCTTCACACATGTTCCATTGTTCTGATTTCTTTGGGAACACCCTCACTGTTGTAGCTGGGAGCACTGCTCTGTTTTCTACTTCTATCTCCCCCTCACCATCATTTTCTTTTCTCTCTCTCTCTCTTTTTAATTTTATTTGCATTTATTCAATGCAGAATTTACTTCCGGGTCATACGTTTTTATTTCTTCAGTTTCTTCTGGGATATCTTTTTCTTCTGTGCAACCTCCTGTTTTGGTTTAGGGACAATCTGCTCTTTTTCAGTAAGGACCATCTCCATGTGGCAGGGAGAGTGCATGTAGGGGTTAATCCGACCATGAGCCTTGTAAATTCTTCGCCGCATCTTGGGGGCTTTGCCCACCTGGGTTGTGCTCCAGGACCAGAGAATCGACATCAAAACCCTTAAGTTCAGCATGACTCTCTGCCTTTTTAAGCATATGCAGTAAAAACTCAGCACTCTTCCTGGGCCCCCGAGCCTGTGTGCAGCCCCACTGTTTGGCCAGGTCCACCAGGGTAGCGACCGAATAGCACACATGGCTTCTGCAAAGTGACATTCTTCAGATACCTCGTGGCTTTTGGGATCTGCATACCCTTGATGGCCTGGGCAGTTTCACATGTGTTCTTAAAGTGAACATGAAGATTTGAACCTCCTGACGTGCATGATTTTGTAGGGTTTTCTAGGTTAAGCGAATAGCGGGCTATTTTCAGAGGTCACCTCAGGCCGCTTAGGTTAAGAGTTCTCACCATCATTTTCATCTCTTATTTCCTACTTGATAGAACTTCTCAGATTCTTTGACCCTATAATTGAGTGATTTCCTGTAGCAGCGATTCTGTTCTTTACCGTTTCCAGTGCAGCTTTTAATTCTGCTATTGCATTTTTAGCTTCTCTGTGTCCTTCTTAATCTTAGCCCTTACCTTTTCATCTTATATCATTGTCCTTTTCATCACAGCACGTTCTCTTTGTGTGGGTTTGCTCCTGTTTTAGGTAGTCATGCCTCTCTGCATCTTTATAAGGATGCTAAGTTTATTTCTGAAGCTTTGTCTCTAGAATACATTATTTGTATAAATTCACCCTTCCACCTAGTATTGTGGATGTTATTCCATCTCTATTATCATACTCCACCCCCCACCCCCCCGCCCCCATTCCATCTGTTCAGAGAATCAGAGAGCTAATGAAGATAGGAGATTGTATCTTTGGCCAGCTTCTGGACCTAGGCTTTGGAGGTCTGATGCTTCCAGAGTTCTGTGCAGTTAAGATCAGCCTAATATAGAACAGGATGACTATAGGCCCACTCTGCTTTTGCTGGAGGATCTGCGTACATACTCCTTTCTCAGGAGCCTTTTTTCATGCAAGCTGCAGACGTGGGGTGGCACTCTAACCCTGGTAATTCTGCTCTTTTCTGAATTGTGTTTGTTCCTCGTGCGTTTCCATCAGAGTTGTCCAACGCAGTAATTGCTTTGCTGAGTAGAGTAGCCTCTGTTGTTAGGTATGCCAGTTGTTGCTATTACCTTTCCTCCGTCCTTCCCTCCTTCTCTTTTCTTTCCTCCTTAATTTTTGTTTTCTGTTCAGGCTTAAATCTCTTCAAGTCCAGGAGGAATCCCGCCACCGAAACGTAGAACATAGAAGTGTGGAGCATCGGTGTACGGAGCCGAGGACCTCTGAGCAGAGGAGGTTGGACCAGCGGGGCATTGACAAGTGGGGCGTAGAGCAGCGGACTGAAGTGATTTCTGATTATGAGAAACAGCTCCGGACGCTAAAGGACGAGATAGCTGTTTTGTCTGCTGAAAAATCTGTGCTTCAAGGAAGGTCTGACCAATTCTCACAGATCTTTTCATTTAAGTTCCTTTTGGTAGTGGTAAAAACGTGGCTTGGGAAAAAATGAAAGGACATCTTGCACCCAAACCCCCACAATATGGGAAACTTTGAACTGAAACGGATTGTTTTCTCTAACTGCCCTCTTCCAGAGAGAGAAAATACCTCCTGGATTGTAAGGCTTGGGCACTAATTGATTTGGGGCTGACATGGAAGCCCAAGGAATGAAACTGAGAGATATGTGAGATGAGAAGATGATAGTTCTTTGGCTTGAAAGCAGATTTGGGTGGGCCTGTCAGACATGCATGGTACCCATGCCGGAAGAATGTTCCATAATAGGGGGGTCCTGTTCTCTGAGGCCTGCCAGTCCCTCTCTGGGGTGACCACCTGTCATTTTACTTTCTATAGCTCATTTTGTCTGATGAAGTGTGTAGGTGAGTGTTCTTGTGACATCCCTCTCTACTGATGGACAGAATGTTAAGACAGGTCATTCGGAGTTACGTGAGGACAGAGCGGGACGTTTTTCTTGGAGCGTTTTCCTTGTTCTTTTTAACACCCACCACCTCCCTCAGCCCCACAGCATGCGGGGATCCAAGCTATCAAAGCCACTCCCACCCTGGTCCCCATTCCCCTAAATGCCACCTTACCCTTTCATTCCGGGGAGTCACTCTGCCATGTTGTGCTGGTACTAGCTTGTCCTGGCTCCCTAGAACTGATTCTGTGCACGTCTGCCTCCCTCCAAGTTCAGTGTGATGTCACATTCATAGCTCGAAATGGGTCGCGGCGGCAGTGTTTCTCGCACCATGGAAATTGGCAGACTACTGTTGAGGGTTTTCGCTTCACTCCGCTCCACCTTCAGGGCGGGCTTTGTAGAAGAACCGTTTGCTTCCTAGTATCTTCTACGCTTCCCTCCTTAGGGACCCATTTCCTTTAGAATTTACTTTGTACTTGATAGCAATACCGTTCACTGATGCCGTGCTTTACAATTCACCGAGCACTTCCACCTGTATTAGCCCACTGGATCTTTCAGGCCCTCCCTCCCAACCAGAAAGAGGGCGAGCATGTTGTAGGTAAGAACTCAGACTCTGGAGGGGAGAAATGAGCGCGAACGGTCCCACTGCTGTAGAACGAGAACGCAGATCTTCTTTCTCACGGTTGAGTGTTCATACGTTCACGTATCAGCCTCTGATACGTGAGTACCCCAAGGCTGGGGTAAGAAATACTGAGAAGCTGGTCTTTCTCCCTCTGGCTCTTGCCACCAGTGTTACTTTCCTTTTCTGAGCCTCTAGTTCTTTGGCCTTGAAATGGCCAACAATCGATGTTGAGCTCGAAGGGCTGCTTAAAGGATAAAATGAGGTGCAAATTCCCTGTGCAGATCCAGAGCGGATGACCGCGTATTTGATGCCGGGCAGAGAGGCCGCGGGGGGCGGGGGGCAGCTGCTTTCCCTGGGGCAGCAGGGCGCACGGCTCCTGGCCATCACTTGCAGGTCATGGGCCGGGAATGAGAGAGAAGCGAATCAGAGCGCTTCTCCGGCTGGTTCTTGCTTACCAACAGGGCCGCCCGGAGCCGGACTCCCAGCCCTGGCCCTCGCAGCCACAGCCGCAGCCGCAGCCGCAGCCGCTCCACCAGCCCCGCCACCGCGGTCGTGAAGATCAGGAGCCCGTCCCCGAATCGCGCCAAAATGTCCAACGTGGCGCGCAAGGCTGCCCTCCTGTCCCGGTTCAGCGACGCCTACTCCCAGGCCCGGCTGGATGCGCAGTCCCTGCTGCGGCGCTGCATCGACAAAGCCGAGACCGTGCAGCGCGTAATCTACATCGCCGCAGTGGTAGGTGACACTCGTGCGGCTGCGCCCAGAGGCCCGTGCGCCCCGCGGGGGGCAGCACGGGCGTCAGCCCAACGGGACGGCCTAAGGGACTGGTCGGCCCTGAGGCCACAGACGGAGGGTGGGATTTCCACTCCCCCCTCCCTCCCTCCCTCCGCCCCTTCCTTCCTCCCTCTCTTCCTTCTTTCCTTCCTCTCTTCTTTCCCTCCTTCCTTCCTTCCCTCCTTCCTCCCTTCCTCCCTTCTTTCCCTCCTTCCTTCCCTCCTTCCTTCTTTCCTTCTTTCATTCCTTCATTCCTCCCTACTTTCCCTCCTTCCTTCCTCCCTTCTTTCCCTCCTTCCTTCATTTCCTTCCTTCCTTCCTCCCCTTTCCCTCCTTCCTTCCTTCCTTCCTTCTTCCTTCCTTCCTTCTTTCCCTCCTTCCTTTCCTCCTTCCTTCTTTCCTTCCTTCCTTCCTTCTTTTCTTCCTTCCTTCCTTCTTTCCCTCCTTCCTTTCCTCCTTCCTTCTTTCCTTCCTTCCTTCTTTCCCTCCTTCCTTTCCTCCTTCCTTCTTTCCTTCCTTCCTTCCTTCCCTCCTACCTTCCTTCCTCCCTTCCTTCCTTCCCTCCTTCCTTCCTCCCTTCCTCCCTTCTTTCCCTCCTTCCTTCTTTCCTTCCTCTCTTCTTTCCCTCCTTCCTTCCTTCCCTCCTTCCTCCCTTCCTCCCTTCTTTCCCTCCTTCCTTCCCTCCTTCCTTCTTTCCTTCTTTCATTCCTTCATTCCTCCCTACTTTCCCTCCTTCCTTCCTCCCTTCTTTCCCTCCTTCCTTCATTTCCTTCCTTCCTTCCTCCCCTTTCCCTCCTTCCTTCCTTCCTTCCTTCTTTTCTTCCTTCCTTCCTTCTTTCCCTCCTTCCTTTCCTCCTTCCTTCTTTTCTTCCTTCCTTCCTTCTTTCCCTCCTTCCTTTCCTCCTTCCTTCTTTCCTTCCTTCCTTCTTTCCCTCCTTCCTTTCCTCCTTCCTTCTTTCCTTCCTTCCTTCCTTCCCTCCTACCTTCCTTCCTCCCTTCCTTCCTTCCCTCCTTCCTTCCTCCCTTCCTCCCTTCTTTCCCTCCTTCCTTCTTTCCTTCCTTCCTTCTTTCCCTCCTTCCTTCCTCCCTCCCTCCCTTCCTTCCTCCCTCTCTTCCCTCCTTCCTTCCTTCCTCCCATCTTTCCTTCCTCCTTTCCTCCTTCCTTCCTTCCTCCCTCCCTTCCGTCCTTGTTTCCTTACTTCCTTCCTCCCTTCCTTCCCTCCTTCCTTCCTTCCTCCCTCCCTCCCTTCTTTTCTTCCTTCCTTCCTCCCTTCTTTCCCTCTTTCCTTCCCTTCCTTCCTTCCTCCCTCCCTTCTTTCCCTTCTTCCTTCTTTTCCTCCTTCCTTCCCTCCTTCCTTCCTTCCTTTCCTTCCTTCCTTCCTTCCTTCCTTCCTTCCTTCCTTCCTTCTTTCCTTCACAAATATTTGGGATGGCTAATTTTTCGCAGTCAAGAACTATTCATATATATCAATATTTATATTGATCAGGCATTTGTTGAAGAAGTATCCATAAATAGAGGATTATCTCAAATGAATATATACTATGTTGATTTGCACTGAATCTTCCAGATGATTTCCTTCCCTTCTCAAAAAAAAAAAAAAAAATCAGAAGGCTGTTAACTCTTCCGTTTATTGAGCTAAGAGAAGTTACTAAACTGCTAGTATGTGAGTTACTTGAGGATGGCAGATTAAAAGTGCTCATATATAATCCTTAATTCTCAAAGCAAAGGTATTTGTTCTGTGGATACCATACTGAGATACTAAGGGTCCATTTTGAGAAATGAGAACAGTTAATATTTAAAAAGAAAATGAAACACTGGTATGAGACCAGAATTATCAGAGTCTACTGAACATTATCCTGAGTTATTAATTTATTTCAGGACTCAGCAAACTATGACCTGTGGGATAGATCTTGTCCTGGTCTGTTATTTCCTTATTTCTAAGGAAAATACCACCTGAGAGCTAGGAATATAAGAATGGTTTTACATTTTTAAACGATTGTAAAAAAAAAAATGTGACAAGAGACTGTATGTATTTTAGGCAAGCCTAAAACATTTACTCTCTGGCTCTTTGCAGAAAAAAGTTTACCAGCTGTGATTCATTTCATTAAGAAGTTGGTTAAAGTTCTGTAAGCTTAATGGCCATGACCTTCATGCATAACTGAGTTTCCTCAGTGCCTGCCACATAACAGGCATTTAATAAATATTTGTTGAATTAATATATGCCAGGAAACATGCCAGATACTTGATATGTGTCTTTGTATAACATAAACACAGATTGATAATTTCATTTCTGGACCTTGACATTGTGGTGGGATCATAGCATCAGCCAGCACTTTTTAAAAAAAGATTTATTTATTTATTCGAGAGAGAAAGAGAAAGAGCACAGGGAGAGAAGCAGACTCTGCTAAGCACAGAGCCCTACATGGGGCTCGATCCCATGACCCTGAGACCATGATCTGAGCCAAAATCAAGAGTCTGACGCTTAACCAACTGAGCCACCCAGGCGCCCCTAACCAGCACTTTTTAAGTGTTTATGTGACCACAGATGATCTGTTTCCTTGAACCTCTGCACTGTGTTGCCTCTTGCACTCAGGATTCCCAGGATCAACTGTCTTGAAATTAGTGAACGTGCATAGTCGTAGATGTGTTTATGTACTTTTCAAAATTGAGGTATGTATTTTCTCCCAGATTAAAATTAGTTTTGACCAACTGTGTTTAGTGATCAGAAGACCCATACGATGTTGAATTTTTGGTGGGTATTCTTTCTTCATTCCTTGCTTTGGATTTCTTTACTCCCCTTCCTCTACCTAATAAATTTGCTGCATTTTTACGTGCAGGAGGCATTCCATGTAGCTAAAATGGCATTCAGGCATTTCAAGATCCGCGTGAGGAAATCGTTGACACCATCTCTCGCGGGGTCGAGTAACTTTGAGGATGCCGTCTTGGATTATATCATTTGTCATCTCGATCTATATGATTCCCAAAGCAGTGTTAACGTAAGTGTTGGGTCTCTTAGTAGGACTGGCGTGCTACTGCTGCCCTTTATGTGGAATACTAACACCTCAGAAATCCACCCAGTGCTCAGGGTTGCTTTTACGTAACGGGATAGCAGAAAGGAGCAGCATCCAGTTGACTTTGTAGAACCAGTCATTATGGGCCGTTTCTTAGACATTTTATGCGGAGAAAAAATAGTCTGACCTTTATAGTTCTATTCTTCCGATGGGTTCTTAATATTGGAGATAGAATACCATAGTGCTTAGGAGCAACAGCTTTGGGGAAGGTGGGTGTCGATTTGCATCCTGGCTGTGTCACTTACTAGCTGTCTGACCTTGCACATTTACTTCACCTGTTTGTGCTTCAGCTTTCCAGCCTTAAAATGGGAGCAACAATGTCCATGACCCCCGCAGAGTTCTTGAGAGGAAAAACAAGCAAGTAATTTGCTTAGCACAAGACTTGGCACGCAGCAAACACCCAATAAGGGCAAGCTACTATAATTGCTATTATTCTACACTATGAACAAGTTGGCACTTCATATACTTGCCCAGAATAGAGAATTGAGGAAATAAATAAAACCCACTAAGGGTGTTTGCTTTAGTTTTTTTTGAGGGGGAGGATTCTCTTGGCCTTCAGTATGCCATCTGTCCTCCGCATCATCTTTCCTCCTTCCCCATTAGTGAGTCTTTCTCCTCCAGCACATGTGCGACTTTCCTAGTTTACAACGTCTTTACCCATGTGCTCTTTCTCCGCCCCCCACCTGACATAACCCCCTTTGGATGTCAGAGCTTCTTGTCACAGGTTGGTAACAAGGTGATGCCATCTTTTTGTTTTTCAGGATGTGATCCGAGCCATGAATGTCAATCCCAAGATTTCATTTCCTCCTGAAGTTGACTTTTGCCTCCTCAGTGACTTCATCCAGGAGATATGTTGCATTGCCTTTGCCATGCAGGCTTTAGACCCACCCCTAGATATTGCATTTGGGGCGGATGGAGAAATTTTTAATGATTGCAAGTAAGAGACATTAGAGCAGAAGCTAAGGGATTTTTTTTTTTAATTATTAATAAACTTTTCTCTATTTCCTGGAAACAATTTAGGGAAAAGAACTCTGGGTGGGGAAATCAATAGACATGACGTGACTTCCAGGCCCTGCCATATACTTCTCTGTGCCAGGGGGCCGACCCCTCTCCTGGGGTCATTTTCTTTCTCAGTCAAATGTGATTCAGAGGTGATGTAATCATTTCCATTGAATGTATTGGAAAGGTCTTGGGGAGAACTAGTGAGTACCTGGAGCCTGTCTGGAACACTAAAAAAAGGCGCTACATACATACAAATGTGTATTACTTTTTACTGGTTTCTACTGCAGTATTTAGGCCAGGTTTCTCAAAGTACGGCATAGAGATATATCACTTGTGTCAGAAGTACCCAAGTCTTGTTAAAAAGGCAGTTTCCTGGATCACACCCCATGATATTTTATGCAGTAGGTTTGGAGTGGGGCTCAAGAATCTGCCATTTAAGAAACACCTAGGTGTTCCTTGTGCACACTAGCACTTGAGACTCTCTCGGTCCATTAGATTTCTATCAACTTTTACATGGTAAATGTTTCCTATATAAATTAGAAGAAATTAAATTAATTTAAAACATTTTACTGAAATTTTATGGGCTCTTATGATACAGCTGGAAATCACTGGGAAGAGGCCAAGCTAGTGGTTAAGAACATTCTGAGGCTTGAGGCTCTGGCATCAAGCTGCTCGGGTTCAAATCCCAGCTCTACCACCAATTAGCTCTATAATCTGGGGCATGCTACTTAATTTTTCTGTTCCTTAGCTCCCTCTCTGTCAGATGGGGGAAATAATAATACCTATTTCTTAGGGCTGGAGAAGGTTAGTCGAACTCATTCAGATAAAGTACTTAGGACACTGCTTGGCATGGGGGCGCCTGGGTGCCTCAGTCAGTTAAGTGGCTGCCTTCAGCTCAGGTCAAGATCCTGGAGTCCTGGGAATGGGCCGCACATCAGGCTCCCTGCTCATCGGGGAGTCTGCTTCTCCCTCTCCCTCTACTCCTCCCCTCTGCTTGTGCACTTTCTCTCTCTCTCAAATAAATAAATAAAATCTTTTTTTTTTTTTTTTTTTTAAAGAACACTGCTTGGCATGCATTGAGCACTCAATAAATGTTAGCTCTTGGTCTTTGTTCAGTCTATAGAGTTATGGGGTGGTGGTGGCCCAATATCCCTACAAGCTATTGATGACAGAGACTACATACATTTCTTTTGCTTATCCAAATCACAATGATGGTGTTTCCAACTGCCTTCTAGCTTGCCATATTTTCCTGCCATTGCCCTGTTTCTAGTTTCTTTCAGATCATTCCTCCTAACACATGTCCACTCATGGAAGAGCTGCTATTAGAACATTACACTGCAATTGAGCTTTTTGATTTCCTTACAGAACATATTCTCTTCATCCCCCTTCCTTTATTCCTTTCTCCTTTGGAGAATGCATAGAACCACTCAGAAATGTTCACCCAATTTACTTTATGGAATCTGCACACTTCACAGACCTCTGGGGTCCTCCTGCTTCCATGCCTTTAATCAGACGGAAATTGTTGCCTCTTGGTGCACTCTGTAACCTGTACCTCTGAAAGGCTGTTGAGCTGAAACTAGAGCTCCTAATAATGACTATTTGGTTCTACTTCGAGGACTTCATAGAACAGGTTTTGTTTTTTTTTTTTAAAGACTTTATTTATTTATTTGACAGAGAGAGATAGCGAGAGCAGGAACACAAGCAGGGGGAGTGGGAGAGGGAGAAGCAGGCTTCCCGAGGAGCAGGGAGCCCCATGAGGGACTCGATCCCAGGACCCTGAGATCATGACCTGAGCCGAAGGCAGATGCTTAACGACTGAGCCACCCAGGCGCCCCGTAGAACAAGTTTAATCCTTAAAAAAAAAAAAAAAAAAAACCCACAAAGAAGCAAAACCAAAAAAACCTGACAGCCTTTCACATATTTGAAGCAATTATTCAAATCTTCCTACTTCTGGCCTCATGGCTTTGGGTTTTTCCATGTAAAGGGGATTTGAGACTTCCTGATAGATCAGTTTCTTTGGCCTGTGTTCCATGCTTTTCTGAGTATTCCTTTTTAAGTCTCCACACTAGATGTAGTCCTCTGCTTTGAATGGAGCAGCTTAGAGAGACTAATACCCTTTCCAGTCTTATTCTCTCTTAATCCCGCTAATCTGTACTAGTGTTTTCTGTTTTTGTTTTTTGTTTTTCGGTTATATAACACTGTTGTTGATCATTCTGAGTTCAACTGAAACCTGTTATTCTTACTTGTACTGTGATTAAGCCTTTTATTGCCTCTATCTGTGCAACTATATGCTTTTTGGACTCAATTATAGAACCTCATACGTATCTGCACTACATTGTGTCTTATTAGATTCAGCTTATTGTTCCTGTTTTTTGAGCTGTTTTTTGATACTGTTCTTTATTTCTCTTTTCCTACCCATCCCTAGCCTTTGAGTGGTTTATCTATAGTTCATGCAGGTCATTGATGAACATGTTACTTATCGAACGATTGAGAGAGAGCTGAATTCAAGGTCTTATTGACTCATTAATTATTTCACTTTGGGTATGATCATTGAACCAGTTTCTAATCCATCTACTTAAGTCAATCATCCACCTCTATTTTTCTTATTTTGCCCACAAAGATAGCATGAGAAATCTTTCAGGGTGCCTACAGGATTTCAGATGGTCTCCGTCTCTAGTGTTTCCCTGACCTGCAACTTATAATTCTGAGAAGGGAAGGAACGAGTTTAGTCTGACAGAACTTGTTCTGTGTGAGTCCATGTTGGGTCCTTGTTATCATTGATTCCCATTCTAAGAGCCCACAACCATCTCTTCAGTAACAGAATCAGGATCCATATTCATCTAGACTGAGCATAATAGAAAATGAGAATTTACACTGATGTCCTCCAGTTACACTACATCATTGCTTAACTTCTCTTTTTTGTTCTTTTGTGTGTTTAAAATAGGTACCATCGCAGCTATGACTCTGATTTCACTGCTCCCTTGGTCCTCTATCACGTGTGGCCTGCTCTCATGGAGAATGACTGTGTCATTATGAAGGGAGAAGCTGTCACCAAGAGAGGGGCTTTTGTACGGTGGCCTTGCATAGTGACAATTCATCCCAAGTGTTTGATTCACAAGTTCGAGAACATTTCTAAACCCAGAGATTCTATAGAGGAAGTCTAAAGAGTTGCTTGATAAGGCTTCATACAAAGGAGGGGAAACGGACTGGCTGGCAAAGAAGAGATTCTTTTCTTTAATTCCTCCATGATTCTTCATAATTTCCTGGCAGTAACTTCTTTGTCTGTTGCTTTATTTATAAGATGGAACTAGTCCTATTTGGTTCCTCCATCTTAGAAATATGCTATCATAAGGGTAAAGCTCTTTGAGCTCATCTTATTGGAGGCCCTCTATAATTCTAAGCATTGGGAAGGGATCAATTAACTTTGAGGAAAACAGTTGGCCAAATTTTTACTGACCATTACCCATGTTGGAAACGATGAATGTACTCTGTTTTTCTCTCCTTGGTATGATGTGTAGGGAGGGGGAAGGGATGAAAAAAAAGAAGGCAGAGGAGGTGGGGAGAGAGTAGCCCAACAGTTTTGGAGGGTTGCTTCCTATATGCATTGGTTGTAAAATGTTTTGGACATGGTAAATAATTGGGCAACCTTCAAAATGGAGTCGTAATTATGAAAGTGTATTAATGTGTGTGGTGGTGGGGGTTGGGTGGCCACGGGGGCTTGGATATTCTGTATAGTTCACACAATGGAGTTTTTATCCTGCCCCTCCTAGAAAGAATTAAGTGAATTCTAAACGGAAGCTATTCAGTCCAGTGCAAAGCCACCATCTGGGTGGGCTCAGTTCCTGTTCTCTTTGAACAAGAGAATAGGGAAGTGCTTTAATGGCAGTTTTTCATAATATAAGGAGAACAGGAGTAGAGTATTTTAAAAGAACTTAAGGGTTTTTGCAGCTGAAACATTCCACTAGAGTGAATAGTATCTCAATAAAATATTTTGTGCTATGGAAGTTGAACCTACAGAAATTGGGTTGGGTTGATCTGACAGCCACACATGGTCTATGATGAATGAGCTCATAAAACATGCTTCTTGCTCCTGCAACTATCACTTTCTGCTAAGAAACTCTAATTGTAGACCCTCTGTAGTGCAATTCGGAAGGGAGGGAGAGGAAATGGCCACTATTCGTATATTCTACATCAAATAGGCATTTAAACTTCCTTCTTCCTCTCCTCAAGCATATCGCCAACATTTATCCCAGCTTAAACTCCTAAAACAAAATGTGAAAATCCTAAAAGGAAGTACTTGGAATAAAGGAAAAAGTTGAATGAAGGGAAATTTGTGAGAAGGATTTTGCTAGTAAAATCTCATTATAGTGAATATCGTTTTCTTAGTCATTAATTTAGTTAATAGATGGGCAACAATGGTGACCCCCTCCCTCCCTCCCTCCCTCCCTCATTCATTAATTCATTTCATTCAACAATGTTTTTATGATCCAAGCACTGTGTTTAGGTGCTGGGGATTCAGCAATGAACAAAAGAGACCCAAATCCCTGCCCACATGGGGCTTACATTCTCTGACACTTGCAAGCTGGAATGTAATTTCTAACAATTTACTCATCAAAACAAAATTCTAGCACCGAGACTTTGAATATTCCAAAGTTCACTGTCATGGGATTTCATCTGAGAAATACCCTAAAGTTATTGTCAAATATTGGGCAGCTGTAAGATGTGAAAAGTGTGTCTCATGCTGATTGATCCCCAGTAATAGGCCAAGTGTAATCATATCAGCAAAACCTCTCATTCTTTAGGATATGCATATTGTTTTAAGCCATGGTGAACTTTCACAAACTGCTATTTCTCTCTCTTTTTTTAGTGGAATTCAGTTCGATCTGTAAGTCGATGTCGAAGCAGGAGTTTAAGTCCCGTCTGCCCCCGTAGCCGTATTGGTTTAAGCACGGTATATATCTAATATTTTTTACACAAAGCATCTTCTGGTTGACACTCTTATCTCCAATCATCACCTATACAAGAGGTGATTATAAGTCTGTATGTAGAAAGAGAACGTGTTGCAATAACCCCAAACTGATTTTTATGCTCCCTTGGGCTAAGGAACTTATCATTCTAGAAAGAAGGAAGTAGAGGTCATGTTTTTCTTAATTACTTCGAAGAATAATAGACTTTACATATTTCATAGTTTTATTTTTGTTTTAGAATGAAAATGAGCAATAGATATAGTCTTATATATCTTATATAGGATGGGAGTGACCTAAACACAGGTCCTTGGTTCCTCTTCAACGTATTGCATGAGTTTTGGAGAAATTGCTCAAATGGTCTGGATTTCAATACTGTATAAAGGGCATTGCAGGTATTAATTTTCCTCCACGCTTCAAAGTAAGAAGAATAACACTGGCGTCCTTGTGTATTAGTTCTTGGGAGGATTACTGATACCTCTGTCAAAAAAAAAATAACAGCAAAAACATTTCTGAAAACCAAAAACATTATTAAGAGTCACCACTGTTGATTTATTCAACAAATAATATTTAGTCCATGCCTTTTGAATACCAAGACCTCTGGACACCAGATAGGCTAACAATTTCTGTTCCTTTGAATAAAAATTCTTGAAATATTTGCTCTATCTTGTTTTAGGGAGAGTGGTGGAGGAGAACAACAGCTAGGGCTCCACTTCTCTGAAATTATCTCCAGTAATGCAACTCTAGCTATAAACTTCTAAAACTCCCTCTGTAAAACAAAATAAAAAACAACCGCCCCCCCACCCTCCATTAATAAGGTCTAGTTTTCTGAGTTTAGTGAGCGTCTATTACTTCAGCATGCTCTTTACCAAATATTCCTTCCTTTGTTGGTGGATGCTCGATTTGCAGAGGGGGGACACAAACATGATGAAAACACGGTCTCTTCCCTGAATGGGTTTCAATAAAGGAAGATCAATATGATTTAAACAAAGTAACTGAGTGTGGTATATGCCATCATCCATATAAGAGGCACGAAGGACTAGAGCCATGAGAGGAGGTAGGGACTTTTTCTGGACTTGGTAGTGAGGAAGGGGTTCATGGGCAAGTTGGTACTTGATTTGGCTTTTTAGATTGGATGGAATTTCAATGAGCTGGGAAATTAAGGAGGAATATCCAGAAAGAGGAAATAGCCCAAAATGGAAAAGACATGAATCTGACACAGATCTTTTGCTCTTAGAGATTTTAATATAACTTACTTACCCGTATTCACGAATAAGTATTTACAGTGGGTAAAAGCAAGAGGATAGTGCATTTAGTGGACTGAAAAATAAAAAAGAAATCTTGAGAATTTTATCCTGGAAAAGTCACAATCTCCTTATTCTAAGAGGACATGGCTTATTGAAGAGCAATATTAGACGCCTATAGCACTCACAGACATGGCAAATTTTTCCTCTGGACTCTCACTGGAAGGCTTATTGGTGGGCAATGTCCCTCTAACAAAGCCCTTATGCATGTTTCACACCCCGTCTTTCTCTTTCCTACTTTGTGCCCAAGGAGAACCAAATAATTCAAACTTTAGAGGGAATAAAATACATTCTTTTTTTTTTTTTTTGAGTAGGCTCCACGCCCAATGTGGAGCTTGAACTCATGAACCTGAGATCAAGGGTCACATGCTCTACTGACTGAGCCAGCCAGCTGCCCCTAAAATATATTATTAATGGTGAAAGCGCTGCCCACTCTGCCCCTTTCCACCGTCCTCTTCTTATAGTGATTGGATACACCTGCAAAATAAAATACAAATATTTTTAGTTAGCCTGGTTTTTTGGCTTATTTGAGGTCTTGATGCATCCAGAATAGCTTTCATCTTTGTTAGTGCCTATTTATCTAAAGTTTTTGAAAGCTCAGAGCAAGATGTTGCTTGTAGTCAGTTATTTCTGAACCATAACAGGTTTGTAGGGATAGGCGGTGGCTTTTGCTTAGTGAAAGCAAAGGTGAGATTTGGAAAATGATTCTTTTCTGGCTCCCCAGGGACCCTCCTTCATAGGACAGGGTTTTGGACACATGACATGATTCATATAAAAATCTGATAGAGAGTATTTGATCATTTTATTTTAATTGGTTAATTGTACTACTACTACTAATTATTTTCTGGAAAGCATTGAATTCAGTATGGCCACTGAGCATCCAATCTCAAAATCTTCAGCAACTATTAAAACCAACAAACAAGCAAACAAACAAACGTAGGCCACTGAGCCCAGATTTTAATGAATGACATGATTTAAACCAAATTGATTGCCCATTTACTTCAGGACGTATAAGAGGAATCGCATTGCTCAACCTCAGGGATGACATCATAGTTGTAAAGTGCCTCAGAACAACTAACCATTTAGCTGGTTTTAGGAATAAAATATCAAAGGGAGTCATTCTTTGAGGTCCATCTACTGTGTCATTCACATTACTCCTTTGTATTTTCCAGATATCTCGAAGCCGGAGCCCTTCTCCAATAAGATGTGGATTGCCGAGTAAGTGGGATGGTTTAGACAGCTTTTTAATGCTCTTTTTAACACTCAGCCCTGTGCAGCAAAATGAATGTTTCGCCTCCCAGGGAACATCTCTGACCTCCACCTCACACCTTCATTTCTGGGCCCTCCTGTTGCTGGTGCCCAAGTGGGTCCCACGGGTGACATGGGAGGAGCCTCTGATTGAGAGGTTTTATCGATGTAAACCCAGATTGACCACCCCAGTTTCATTTAGGTCCTTCCAAAAGAAAGTCTAAGAAAGTGACCATAATCATGAACTGTTTGTTTTTCTCCCTAGGGTTTTAAAGCCAGCAGACATGTCCCTTTGCTACAGTACATCTGCCCCAGCTAACTTCCCCAGTGCCTGTCTCCTGTGCCTGCCTCAGAACTCACTTAAGATAATGTGAAAACGCAATTCTGTGTATCACTCCACACGGAGAGTTAAATGTTTTGGCTTAGCGTGTTTGTAACCTCAGATATATTGCATTTTATTTTATTCTATTATATTTTATAGATACAAATTCCATTACTTTGATAAGAACAATTGCATAGGTGTTTAGGATCATATTCATTGGAAGCAAAGTCCTTCAGGGTTTTCATCCTCAAATACTAGGCTCTTTTATGGCAACTGTAGAAACTTAAGTGGAAGATCTTTACCATGTGGAGTTCAAAAGATAGAGTCAGTTTAGCTTACAGATGGATCATAAATATTATAATTGCTGGTATTAGCTTAGATCTTGAAAACAATATTGAGTGTTATAATTTTCTTGTTTGGAAGACAGCCCTAATCCCAGGCTGGGGAACTTGTCCTGGTAGCAGTGACTTCAGGCTACACGTAGATGGTGTTGATTTCAGAGAATAGAGTTCACTGGCTTGCTTCTCTTTTCCTGCTTTGAGAATGCCCTGTTTGGTTTAGTTGGGTACCAATGCCAAAGCTACTTACCTGACAGAATGTTCTTGCTTCATAAATGCACAGAAGTGATGTGGCTAGAAGCCAGCTTTGAGAGAAATGGTAATTACCTTGTGTTTATCTCGTGGGAATGTTTCATACAGTTTTAATGTACATGTTACATATAGAAGCGATCTGGACATGTGCTTTATCTATTCCATCTGGTTGTTTGCAAATTCAGACCTCCTAAGAACTGCATCTGACTAAAAATACCTAAATGCGGGGCTTAAAACTAGGGGTACCATTTATTGATTTTAAATTGAGCGAATATACCTTGATTTCCTGACTGTGAAGGACTATTGAAAAAGTTCAAGTTCTAATGGAATGTAGCTTTCCCAAGATAAGTAATGTTTTGTCTGTTCCCCCCCCCCCCCCCCACTTAAAATGGTCTTAAACACAAGCCTCACAAATGACTGCTTTCTCTGTGTGCCTTTTGGAGAGAAACTCTGAATTGGCCACAGCTTTGTCTGCATAAACTCAGTGCCCAAACTAGCACCTAGTGCTTTGTAGGTGAAAAAACAAAACAAAACAAACAAACAAACCCAAAGCAAAAACTTCTCTAAACCATCTTATCCCAGTAGTGCAATTGCTGGGTCATAGGGTAGCTTTATTTTTAATTTTTTGAGATACCTCCACAGTATTTTCCAAAGTGGTTGTACCAACTTGCAATTGCACTACAGGGTATTTACCCCAAAGACACAGATGTAGTGAAAAGAAGGGCCATATGCACTCCAATGCTCATAGCAGCAATGTCCGCAATAGCCAAACTGTGGAAAGAGCCTAGATGCCCTTCAACAGATGAATGGATAAAGAAGATGTGGTCCATATATACAACGGAATATTACTCAGCCATCAGAATGGATGAATACCCAACTTTGACATCAACATGGATGGGACTGGAGGAGATTAAGCTAAGTGAAATAAGTTAAGCAGAGGAAGTCAATTATCATATGGTTTCACTTATTTGTGGAACATAAGGAATAGCATGGAGGACATTAGGAGAAGGAAGGGAAAAATGAAGGGGGAGGAAATTGGAGGGGGAGATGAACCATGAGAGACTATGGACTCTGAGAAACAAATTGAGGGTTTTAGAGAGGGGGGGTTGGGGGGATGGGTTAGCCCAGTGATGGGTATTAAGGAAGGCACATACTGCATGGAGGACTGGGTGTTATACGCAAACAATGAATTGTGGATCACTACATCAAAAACTAATGATGTATTGTATGGTGACTAACATAACATAATAAAATAAAATTAAAAAAAAAAACCCATCTTATCCCTTGTGCTGGTAGCTAGACACGAGGAGGGACCTCCTCCATCCCTGTCCCTTGGGTCTAATGGTCACCAACTTCATTCTGAAGTGTGAGGTTGATTTTTCTCCCCCTGTGTATTTTTACATAGTCATCACATTGAGGCAATGCAGCTGCTGGAAGGAGGACTCGGTGTTTAGGTAGTTCCAGTTCTGACTTGGTCATCAGTTTGCTTTGTGGACTTGAGCAAAAGTTACTCCACCTCTCTGAGTCTCAGTTTTATTTTATTTTTTATTTATTTATTTTTAAAAAAGATTTATTTATTTATTTGTTTATTTATTCATGAGAGAGAGAGAGAGAAAGGCAGAGGGAGAAGCAGGCTTCCAAGGAGCAGGGAGCCCGATGCAGGACTCGATCCCAGGACCCTGAGATCATGACCTGAGCCGAAGGCAGACGCTTAACCATCTGAGCCACCCAGGCGCCCTCAGTTTTATTTTAGAGTGAGTAGGTTGGAGGAGATTAGTTGTTCTCTCAACCCTCCCAGATTCAGTGCCCCTTTATGACAAATATTCTGATTATTGTGAAATAAAATTCAATGTTAATGCATATGTACTTTTAAATAATGAGTATAGTATCCTAACTTTAATACAAAGCAGAGAAAAGGAAAAGCAGTGTTTAATAACATGTATTTCAGTAAGAAAGCTTCGGTATTGCCATCCTAGATGATAAGATTAAGTCATCAGATGCTTACACCTGTAGGTAGTCATGAGCTACAAATGCAGGCCAATGTGCATTGTATTGGCAATATCACGAACAGCGTCAGTTATGATATTCTGAAATGATGGACAACTCCTGATAAAGTTTTGAACAAAATCTTAGTCATGCCTTGATTTACATAGTAAGCACATCTCTGGAAAAGTTAGTGTATGTTGAAACCATGCAACTATTACTTTGTGTTCTGTGTTAAAAAACCTTTTATAAAATCTAAGCAATGATAATTCATTTTTAGACAAGGGACAGAGGGACCATGAGGGCCCTGAGTAGGCGACTAGCGTCAGTGGATTATGTAATGGGAAGGCTTTTTCCCCTTTGAATGGGGTAGTTGAAGGCATGAAAACCAGCTTTCATCTCTTCTACTGCTGTGTCTGGTGTGAGCAGTCTTACTGGCCAGCCAGAGTTCTCTCTTTCCAAAAGGCAGCCTCATCTCAGAAATGGTTGCTATAGCCTGGACATTTGTGTCTCCCCCTAGATTCATACGTTGAAACCTAATCCCCAAAATGATGGTATTTGGAGGTGGGGCCTTTGGGACGTGATTAGGTCATTTGGGTGGAGCCTTCATGAGTAGGACTGGTGCTCTTATAAAAGAGACCCTGGAGAGCTCCCTCATCCCTCCCGCCATGTCAGCAAGAAGACAGTTGTCCATGAAGGACAAAGTGGGTCCTCACCAGGCACCAAATCTGCTGGCACCTTAATCTTGGACTTCCCAGCCTCCAGAACGGCAAGAAATAAATGTTTGTTGTCTAAAGTACCCACTCTATGGTATTTTTGTTATAGCATCCTGAACAGACTTAGACAGTGGTTACTTTTGTTCGAAGACCCATTTGTATGCATACTCTAGCCTGTTGCTACAAATCACTGGCCTTGATGTGCTATCAATGACTTCTGACCTTTCTTAGTTTGATTTGAAATTGCCCAGCTGAAAATAAAAAAGGATTGGGGTGGGTGGGGTGGAAAAATAAAAGAAAAACTTTCGGGTTTTCTTTGATTAGAAAAATAAATTTCTCCTGGAATTTTTTTTAAAGATTTTATTTATTTATTTATTTGAGAGAGAGAGAGAATGAGAGACAGAGAGCATGAGAGGGAGGAGGGTCAGAGGGAGAAGCAGACTCCCTGCTGAGCAGGGAGCCTGATGCGGGACTCGATCCCGGGACTCCAGGATCATGACCTGAGCTGAAGGCAGTCACTTAACCAACTGAGCCACCCAGGCGCCCCTCTCCTGGAATTTTTAAGAGTGATAGTGTCATTCAATATTTATACTTCATATTGATAATTTGACAGAAAACTTAAGAAGACCTAACATTTCCTAGAAAATCCTCTGTGGAATACTAGTAACAAGTATTTAATCTGACATTTCCTACATGCCAGACATTGTGCCAAGCACTCTGTGTTATTAAACCTATTGTACAGAAGGAGAAGCGAAGGCTCCAGGTTATTACTAAGTAACCTAATCCCAAGTCATGAAGTTAGTAAACATTGGAGCAAAAGATCAAACCCATGTTTTTTCATGTTGAGCCCACCATCTTTTCACCGAGTCTGCAGGATGTTAAGATGTGGGATGAAAAAAGTATCTTGTGGCCCTATCCATTTGGAAAAAGAAGTTAAAAGGTGAGTTGAACCCATCTTTTCTGCCAGACCCTGAAGAGTCATTCATCATCTGCTGTTCATGGGAAACTTCGGGGAGAATGTCATATGCAGCACTCTGCAAATTTATTTCACTATGGAACCCTTGTTTCATGGCACTCTTGTAAAGGTATTGTTCTAGAAGACCCATTTCAGGAAATGCCTCTTTAGGACCTATGTATTGGGTTTTAGAATTACAGATACTGCTGACCACTGGGAGTTAGGCTTTCTCAGCTTTCACATGTGGAGGAAGAATCTTGATTTTATCATGTTAAGACTTTGCCCCAATTAATAAGTTCCTAAATAAGAAGCCTAAAATGGAAATCTCCTTTTATCTCTATTTTTTTTTTTTTGAGAGAGAGTGAGAGAAAGCACAAGAGAGGTGGGGAGGGGCAAAGAGAGAGAGAGAGAGAGAGAGAGAGAATTTCAACCAGGCTCCACACCTAACATGGAGCCCAACGTGGGGCTCAATCTCACGACCCTGAGATCATGACCTGAGCCGAAATAAAAAATCAGACACTTAACCGACTGAGCCACCCAGGTGCCCCTATCTTTATTCTTTATACCTCTGCTTATCTTTTCCTTTTGTCTTATTTTCTTCACACTTCTATTAATTGTATCATGAAATAGAATTCCCTTGAGCCCCATATCTATGTCAGGGTGGTTTTTCTAGCATTCGTGTTTTTCCTTAAATCTCTGACCATGTCACACCTTTGCTGCTGTTTCTACTTTCTCTCTCATTCCTTTCTACTTTCTCTCTTTTTCAGAGTTTCAGTTTCCTAGTTAATATCCTTAATGCATATTCATGTACACTTCTTAAAAACAGGCACCTAAATTTTAATGTCATTATGAATCAATGAAAGAGACAAATGGATATTATTCAAAATTAAAACACTGAATGGCATTCCATATAAAGATACACATATCCTGATTCATATAATGCATTAACTCTATGAAAATTTCAAATAATTATTTCTAAAATTTTGAATATTTGCATTACTAGAAATGACACTTCTTTAAATTATACTTAAACTTTCAGTAAGTTGGAACTGTCATCATATTTATGTCTTAAGTCACTCCAATAAAAAATGTTGACTAGTATTTCCCAAATTTGTTTGATGATGAAAGTCACTTGGCATGTTTATCAAAGACAGATTCTTGAGCTCCACTCCAAGTATCTGAATCAGAATCTCCAGGGGCATCTGTATTTTTAATATCAGCAGACAAGTTTGAAAAACACTGGTCTGTATCTGGCTCTAATGATCCATAAGTGAAATATCGCAGAAATAATTTATTGCATATATTATGTCGTCCTTAGCTTTCTAAACGGAAAATAATGTATTAATTTAAAAGCCTCTAAAAATTTTAAATTATTGGCTACACTCTAGTAATAGGTAAATTATGGAAATTTAGCATAGTCATTCTTTTTTCTGCACACATAAAAATATGGCCCATTATGGGCTATACAGTTAGATTTTCAATAAAAGAAAAGGATGAAAAAGGATACCAATTTTATTTTTCTTCCCTAGAGGCTAAAATTGTCCTCTTTTGTATCTCATGTTTGGAAAGCATCTTTGTTGAGTTGTCAGAATATGTATTTCTTACTAAACTCTTAAGTTATCCCCTTCAACCCTGTAGATCTATGTTCACTGTGTGTAACTGAGAGAGTCAGAGTTAGAATAATGAGTCCCCATCGGCCATAGTTTGCCTAGTCATGGTTGTCTGCCAAATGGAGCTAGTCACCTGGATGATTCAGACTTAGGAACATCTTTATGATTATTCATATGAGTCTCTAGATAAAAATCTAAAACAGTGCAACTGACATCCAAAAATTAGACCTCACAGATGGCCTACCTCTAATGGGATTTTCCCAAACATTGAATAGAGGACAGAAATTTGGCTCTT